GTAGGCTAGCCCAACCCAGGTCCCAGCAGCCTGGAGGTGTGCCCTAGCGGTGAAGCCTTTGGTAGGTTGACCTGGAGGGGTGGCCCTGGCATAGGCTGCCCGGTCCGTATCTCTCTGGTGCGCTGCGGTGGGCAGGAACACCTAGCTGGCGAAATTCAAACAGACTGTGGCCGACAGGGAAGAAAGCTGAGCCTCCTATATACGCTTGTATAAAAGGAACAAAGAATATGGGAAGAGGGAGCAACAAGAAAGGGTCCTCAGCCACCAATCCTGAGAAACATGCAATAGCAGACGCGTCACTAATAGACATAAAGTGCTCTCTCCAGAGCCTCATAGATGAGTTCAGGAATGAAGTTATTAATGACTTGAAGCAAGACATAAGCAGAATAGTTAGAGAAATGCTAAGCACCGCCCAAGAAAAAACAGATGGTGGAATGGAAGAACAGAAAAAAAGGGGAGAATTGTTTGATGGAGAAAATAGAGAAAACAGAGAATACATGAAGCAGGTTCAAAAAGAAACTAAACTAAAAACTCTATCAAAAACTGGCATAACAGCTTGAAAGAAACTAAGGATAGATTATCTGAACTGGAGGGCAGATTTGTAATATGGGAGCATGAAATGAAAAACTTCTTAAAAATAACAAAAGAAAACAGCAACAATACAAAGGATAGAAGATGATAAGAGGATCTATAACTTAAGAATTAAGAACAGAAAAGAAGTGGGGACACAAACAAATGGACTACAAAAGTTATTCACAGAAATAATCCAAGAGAATTTCCCTAATCTAGCAAATGGTAAAGATACTCAGATATATGAGGCAAACAGGACTCCAGCCACCTACAACCCAAACAGAGCTACACCCAGGCATATAATAATCAAAATTCCAGAAATCCAATATAAGAATAGAATATTAAAAGCTGTCAAAGACAAGAAACAGATCACTTACAAGGGAACACCCATCAGAATTACAGCAGACTTCTCAGCACAAATCATCAAATCACGAAGAGCGTGGGGGGAAATAATTCAAGTTTTGAAAGATTATAACCTCCAGCCAAGATTGATATATCCTGCACAACTGTCCCTAGAAATTGATGGAAAAACAAGGTGCTTCCAGGATAAAGGAGAACTAGGGGAATTTGCAACCACCAATTCAGCTCTACAGAGAATACTGCAGGATAGTCTAAAAAAGGAAAATACCAAGATTCCAGAAATAGTGGCAGAGAGGCCACAATGAATGGAGCAAAAAATGAAATGAAGAAGACAAACTGACAACAAATGACAGAAAAAGAGCTCAACAGAAATGAGGCAGAGAAGATCGGATGGTAGGAACAGCTATTTTGGAGAAAACAAGACATCATAATAGCTAGTGCTGATTTAGTATCATCTTGTTTTGAAGTCCCATCAAACTTGTATTCTGTCTCCATTGGTCTTAAAAGGTTGTATCTTATTGAATTTTATTATATGTGATAATATAAGCAAAAACTTTTATAGACAAGGAGATTATACAGAAACCATTGTTCATTTTCTGTTAGTTGGTTCTGAATACCCTGTAATAATGTCATTCTCTTGAATGGTTTTATAGTGTCTTGATATGTTTGGTGCTATGGTATACGAAATTATACTCAAAGATTTCAAGGAAAGAGACACTATGGTAACTACTTTTATGTCAGGATATCTTGTGATGAAACACTATTTTGCTTAAATGGCTATGTTTTGACCTGCGCTGTTCTGTTGTTATGCCCTCTTTTACCTCAATCCCCTTTTTTAAAATTATTTACTTTTTTCTCTTTATCTTTTTAATTAAGGGAAAAATAAATAAAAAATAGCAGGGTACATTATAGTAACCTATTTTGATTTCCTATTAACTTGATTTGAAATCCGTATTGCCTTCACCATCTTGTTTTGACTGATTTTCCTCTATGCTGCTTTGCTTGGTAGTACCAAGTTCGAAAGTATAGGCAAAACTGTGAAGACAATAAGATTCATTATGACGCCCATTCCGGTTGACTATTCTTTTTTTTTAAAGTCCTGTAATGTCTCCAATGCTTTGGTTTTATTCTTTACTGTTTAGTTCAATTTTATTATAACTGGCAATTCTTAAAATAGCAAGAGGCAGTGTGGTAACCATTGTTGATCACCGTATATATTTTTTTTACATTATCTATTATGTCCATCCTTTTGATTTGACTGACTCTGTTCTGATGTGTCACATTTGGTTTTACTCTCTTCAAAAAAAGTAGTAAGAAATGTGGGAGTAATAAAACCCAAAATGTGTAATTGTCATTGTACAAAAGAAAAGAAAGTGCTCTAAAGGTTATAACTGCATATATGTTTAAGTGTGTAAGATAGATAACCATATTACTGAGTGTTTTTTGGATCATTGAACAAAACTGTTTGCACTCTCACTGTTTGAAAGTCCACTTTATATGCTTCAATGTAACTTGAATAACTATTTCTAAGATGAGAATATATAATCTATTAACTAGTGATTTCTTCCTGTTTATTTTTTAAATTTTGTATTACTTGTACCCTTTTTTTTCTTTTTCTCCTTAAATTAAAAAAAGTGTTTTATTGAAATAATATATGTATATATAAAGAAAATTACATATAAATATTTAACTCGGTGAATTTTCACAAACTGAACAATGCAAAAGTATAATCAGTGTGCAGAACAAAGAAGTAAAACATACCTAGCCTCTTAGATGCATCCTTTATACCCTTTTCACTTACTACCTACCACCTTGGGTAACAGTAGTTGACTTCTTAATGACATAGATGTGCTTTGCCTGATTTTCATACTCTACATAAGTCGTAAAGTACATACACGTCTATATATCTTGTTCAGAGCTTTATGAGATTTGTCCAAGTTGTTACATGATAGAGTTTGCTCATTTTCAATATTATATAAAATGTCATTGTGTAAGTATATTTCATAGTTCTTATATTCTATTGATTTGAATAGTTTTCCGTTTGTGGCTATTGTTGAAAAGTGCTACTGCCAACATTCCATTAATGTATTTTGATGTAAGTATGCATGAATTTTCCAGGATATCTCTTTTAAATGTAGAATCAAACTTTTTTAAGTGTTACCCAGTATTGCCAATATATTTACAAATATGCTGCTAGTATATTTACCATTGTACCTTATTCAAATGAGAGCTATAGTTGCAAGAATTACTAGATCCTTCCTTACAAAGGAAGGCTTTGTCTGTACTCAAGGTTCTTAATTGTGTTCATATTTGTGTCTTTTATTAGATTGTAGATATCTTTTAGTACTTTGTTTTATTTGCTTGTGTAACCTAGCACTTGGCACAGTATCTGAAAGATGGTAGCTAGTTGGATAAAAGGTGACAGCCATTACCATTACCAGTGATTAATAAAGCAAATGGTCTTAGTTATGTGAATTATCCAGGTAGAGTAAAATCAGTGCTTGAGTCTGACATCTTAGTGCAGAGGGTTAGAGTGGGAAGTAATTTCTTTCTGCAAGAAGTCCAGAACTGTGGATTCAGAACTGAATATGCGCATGGATAGAGGGAATAGTTGTGGCTTTACGGGCCTCTTGGAGATTTAAAGTGTTAACAGCAATGATTCCAAGATATAGTGTGGGGGGCCAGATATAAATAGCAAAACACAAGTGGAGTAATATGCCTCTGCCAAGCACTGCTGGGAGTGTTTATAAAAAGAAAAGCATTCCCTTCTCAGTTCTCACTGTCAACAACATCCCATCGTGAGGACACAGTCACCACAACTGAGAGTGGGGAATCAATTTGAGATCTAGCATCACTTAAACTTCCATCAAAGGCACAAAAGCCAGGTAAACATTTTAACTTTTTTGCACTCAGATTACAAAAGTGAAGAATTGTCAGGAAAACCCTGAACCAGAGCTTTTTTGGCGCATAACTGCCTTTTAACAGATATCTACTAAATACTACATTTCAAACACTTTTTTAGAAGGAGAAGTTTAACAAAGAAGTTTACACTTTGGTACTATATTTTAATAACTTTAGTTAAAGAAACTAGTTCTAAAGATAGGAGCATAGGACCAAGTATTCTATAAAAACGGAATGCTATCTCCCTTTCACTATGCTGTTCATTCTTATTTTCAGAATCCAGATTATGGTCATAGGTGGGATAAAATAGAAATTTCATTTCAGTTCTAGTAATGTCACCTGTGTAAATATGTAGGAGGAACCAGAGGCAGATTTGCAATCCTTAATTGAATTTTAGGTATTAGCTCTGTGACAGTTTTAGTCTTTGTGAACCTCTTACCCTGCTGTTTACCCCTTTCATCATCATTAGTACTGGGATTAATATTGAACATTCATCTGATGGAGTTATTTAATCTTGTCAGAAATGCTGCTACCTAGGTCTTCCTTATTTTTATTCCCATTTTCAGAAAGTATGCAAAACCCTTATTTAACTTTAGGTTTCTGTTGATTGTGAATATATGGAAGAAGGCAGCTACCTCTGATAATCTGCTTGGTACTACTGTCAGTCTTGTAATTTCCACCTTCCTATCCAAATTGGCATGATTTAGGTTTATTTTACAAAGAATGTAGAAAAACACATGATGTATGTGTACATGTTCCTAGAGAATTCCTAACAACTGGGAATAGGGGGCTTGTTTGAAACTGTGGTAGTTTGGTTTGACTATGTTATTTCTTGTGGATAGATAGGAAAGATTTAAAGATAGGGAAAAATTGTTCTACTAGTGATAATAGTAGGAGATACAACATGTCTGGAGAAATGTGGAAATAAAATATTTAATTTTGAGCAAAGCACCAAAGTTCTCTTTTTGTTTTGTTTCTAGAATGAAGGTGCTAGATCACTAATAAAAACATAATGGCTTTTGCAGCCATTAGGAATTTATCAATAATCGCTTTCTGATCATCTCAGTATCCACTGTCATCCAGAATAAACATACATAGTTATCTTGCTCTTATTCCTCTAAACTCCTCTTTTAAATCTACTGAATTGGAATTTCTTCATTTTAATTTAGAAAAGAAAAATGAAGACAGGACATCTTGAAATGGTCATCATGTTCCTGGCAGCCATGATTCTAATGGATGTCTTCCAGGTAATGTTGGGAATGGGAAGCATGTGGTGATTGGAATGCAAATTCTTCATATAACATTGCCTGAGGCATCTGTAGAAATAAAAGAAAGTAGGATAGGTAAATGAATTTATTACAAGACATTTTTGTTTAACATATGTTAACTGTAGAATGTTAACATATGTTACTGTAGAAAGTTGAAAAATTGAAGAGAGCAGCAAAATTCATCCATAATCTCTTTATTCAGAGAGAAAAGTTCTTAAGGTGTTGGTATACTTAGTCTTGGATTTTCTCTCTGTGAGTATATAATTTACAAAACATAAATTCATACTATACATAGTATTTTTACCTTGATTTTTTATACTGTGCTACATGTCTTTCCGTGTCAGTAAATATTGTGTGTTTTTATCCAAATAAGATAGTATTGCTTTGATTTTTATTAAGTTATATAGTGACTATTTTCTCATATTGAGTTTTTTCCTGGTAGAAATTTTATGATTGTATTTCCAGTTAAATCATTAGACATTCAGTAACACTTTTATATAAAATATAAAACAGGTATCTCACTTTACTTTTTTTCTCCATTTATTAGCTGTCATGCCACTGCTAAATATTTTTACACTAATTTTGAATGCCTTTGTTAAAATATCATAAATAATAAAAATTTGAGTTTTTTTCCAATACTGGAGATCAAAGCCAAGTTACACTCAACTACATCCTCAGTCCTTTTTAAAATGTAATTTTAAGAGAGGTGCTGTCTAAGTTACCCAGGCTTGACTCAAACTTTCTGTTCTCCTGTTTTAGCCTTCCTAGGACACAGGTGTGCACCACTATGCCTGGTTTCATTTTTTAAAATTTAATTATTTGATCCATTATCTAGAATATCATTATATATACTGTTGGCTACAGTTTGGTTTCTTTTTAAATTAAGTTATAACTCACATACCATAAAAAAATCTCAGTCTTGAAGTGTATATTTCATTGGATTTTTGGTATATTCACTATGTTGTACAACTATCATAACCTAATGAATATGTTGTATTCAATTACATAAATTTTTGTCACCCTAAAAACAAACCCTTTTCTTGTTGATAGTCAACTCTTATTCCCTCCTTTCACTATTCTCTGGCAATCATTAATCTATTATATGTCTCATGGATTTGCCTATTCTGGACATTTTATCTTAAAATCTTAAAATATATGGGCTTTTCTGTCTGTTTTCTTTCATTCAGCATAAATACTTCAAGACCCATATATATTGTAGCATATATTGCTATTTTTACTGATAAATAATATTCTACTGTATGGTTGTACCACATTTTGTTTATCCATTCATCAATTGATGGACATTTGGGTTGTGCTCACTTCATGGTTGTTACGAATAAAGCTGCTGTGAACATTTGTGTACAAGTTTTTATATGAACATGATTCTCTTTGTGAAAATTTTTTATAATAATCTTTTTTTACATACCTGAAGGATAATACAAGTACTATTTGGCAGCATTTCATAGTATTTTATGTATATATGTAGGAAATACATATAAGTGAAAATGGATTTGCAGGGATTATGCTTTATGCTAATAACAGAATAGCTCATTATATATATAACTCATTATATAATTACTGAATATATGTTTCAGTTCTCTTTGATATGTATTTTGAGTAGCATTGCTGGGTCATATGGTGATTTATGTTTAACTCATCTACATACTACTAAACTGCTTTTCATAATGGTTGCACCATGTTACAGTCCTCCTTGCAGTGAATTAGAATTCCACTTTCTCTGCATTCTTGTGTTATTTTCCTTCTGTGCTTTTGTTTTACCATTATATCCATCCTAGGTGGTGTGAAATAATGTTTCACTGTGATTTTAATTTGTATTTTCTGTTTTCTAACATAATTTTAATGTTTGTTTTACTAATCTTCTGTAGTTTACTTATCTTCTTGAGAAATTGAAATTTTCACATATTTGTAATAATTTTTGATAATTGAGTGTCTTAGTTACTTTTTACTCGTCGCTGAGACAAAATACCTGAAGCCCAAAGTTGGGAAAGGAAAGGTTTACTTCTTACAGTTTTTGGAGGTTTCAGTCCACACTCAGTTGGCTCCAAGACAGGCAGGCATGGCTGGGCTGCAGTTCATGGCAGCCGCCAGCAGCAAACTCAAACCAGCAAAGAGAAAAACACACCTTCTTCCTGCCATTACATCACATCCTGGCTCCACCCCCATGTGGGTGGAGCACTGACATCATCAATCCAAGCACTATACAATGAACCATCACATATGAACAATGCAAACTCATGAGGCCTGGGGGACACTTTAAATTTTATTTTAGAGAAAATAAAACCAAGCAAAATAAAACAGAATAAAACCAATCAAAACAAGACAATGTAAGTAACACAGGACCTCAAAACAAGATAATAGGAAATCAACAGTGGCTACCATATTGCCCCTTATTGCCCCCAAAACAGTCATCCATACCTTGAGCATAGCAAAATCATACAAAACATAAACAGAATACAACCAATAAAAGCAAAAACACGAGACAATAGCAAATCCAAAATGGCTACCATAATGTATTTTGTTATCTTTGAAACAGCTGCCTGTGCCATCAGATAAAACAATAAAACTCAACCAAACAAAGCAATGAGAATGATACAGAATTTCAAAACAAGATAACAGGGAATTAACAATGGCCACCACCTTCAGAAGTTCCCCCATATATGCTACATTGTGTATTGTTATCCTCTGAATAGATAAGTACCAGCTTTAGTGCGTGCAAAGTCCGTGAAATGCTAAACACTACAAGCATTAAGTTTTACCTCATTAGCTATCATCACATGCTGTGTGATGTTTTACCTCATTAGCTATCATCACATCAGCCCGGAGCTAACAGCAGGAGTGGGGGAGGCAACACATTGGTTCTTCTTGCCTCTTGCCCACACACCAGCAAGGGGCTGGCATCTGGCTTCCCGCCAGTCAGGCCACACATGGCGCCAGCTCACAGGAGAGGGCTGATGTTTGGCTTTCGTCCAGTCAGCCTAAGGTGATTGAATTTTTATCAGTGTAAGTTTTTTATATCTGTGGATAAGTCAGAGGGAGAAAATATAATCAGTTTATTCATCTAGCCTTTTGTGTGTACCCATTTCTTAGTATCCATTCAATTGTGCCTAAATGCTGGTGATATTTGTGAGCTTTGTCACAGCTCAAAGCGAACATTATACACAACACACAATCAGTTGTGGAGTGTCTAGCCAGAAAGGCTTGATGTCTAAAATTAGACAAGTAGAGACTTGTTAGAGACATTTAAAAAGACAAGAACACACTAGATCAGCTTTGCTATGATGTGAGGAATGTGGGAGGTGGTTTCAAGGCTTGATGTGTTATGTTGAAGTCTTGAAGATAAGTCAGGCATTGGTGCTCAAGCTGAACTCTGGTACATTCTGTACTGCACAGGGTGATTTGATCTCCCGCAGCTCAAATATGCATGTCAAGAAACTGACCTACAAACCCAGGAGTATAGAGTTCTCAGTGACTTCCGCAGCAGAATACCCTGTGGCTAATAATCAAGACAGTTTCTGATGTATTCCAATTCCCTCATTTGTAAAATGGTATTAATAATTGTCTGCCTAAGTTTTGGTAAGAGTTTTTATAAATACAAAATTACCCTTTTTTTTTTTTTTTTTTTTTTTTTTGGTGCTGGGGATTGAACTCACAACCTCATGTAGGCACTTATGCCACTGAGCTAAACCCCCGCTACCCTTTTAAAAAATGTTACATAAATGTCAGTGGTCTCATCAGTGGAAACATTCTTATTCTTTAGAATACAGCATTTTGGTTAAGACAGCAAGACTCTTAAGACCAGACTGGCCGTTTCAAATCCCATTAAGTCATAATCTGTCTGTATTTTAGTTTCCTTATTTAAAAAAAAAAAGGTGGGAGTAAAGCGACATGCTGGGACATGGCTATAATTCTAACTGGAACTGAGGCAAGCAGATCACAGGTTTGAGCCCTGCCTGGGCGACTTAGTGAGACTATTTCACAATAAATAAAAATGAATAGGGATATAGCTTAGTCTGAAGTCCTAGGTTCAAGTGTCAGTATGGACAAAAGGGTGGGGTGGGACAATTAATTATAGTACCTACCTTACAAAGTTTCTATGAAGATTAAATGAGATAATTCATATGATATACTCAGTTCCTGACATAGAAAACTTTGAAGCTGTTTTTTAGCTTTAGAGATGGGGTGGCCACACTTAAAACTGAGAAGGAAGTACCTAGGAAAACTTCAGTAACAAACAGATACTCTTAAATAAGAACCAGGTGATTGTAGGTAGTAATTTTATCGGTTTGGTTTTTAGACATTGGATCAGTCAGTGCTTACTATAAAAACAGATTTAATGTAAGATATACAAATATATAAGAATTTACAAGATTAGCTTACAGTAGCCATCCTCATAGTCAGATGTGGAAAAGTGCAAAAGGTCTGTCTATGTGCTGGAGATCCAAAGGATCCAGTTGAAGGCATGGAGCCCACTGTAGTATCCTGTGTAGTACCCGGAGTCCAGAAGGGTCTGCACTGGAAGCCAGCAGATGATATCCAAGGTAAAGATGAAGACATGAGATCCTCCAAAGAAACAGAAGTGAGGAATCCATCTTATTTTCCCTTTTTTAATTATTCCTTTATTTTCCATTTTAGGGAGACAATCCTACCTAGGGTGGGTCTTCTACACCCAAAACTGTTGGTCCAATTTAGTTGGACCTTTCTTACTCAAGTTAACACAACTGGTTGACTGTCACAGATATGTTACATTTGAAGGGTCTTTTGGCATTCAAATGAAGGTATCAAGTGGGCAGTTGATGTATAGGTCTGGCATTTATAAGACAGGTCAGAGATATCTACATGATATTTGAAACTATGTGTTTGGGCATGATTGTCTAGGGATGGAGTTGAGAATTAGAACATAAATTACCTTGACAAATTCCAACACTAAGTGATCAGTAAGAAAATACTGGATGATGCAAAGCAGTTCTAAACAGCAATGCCCACCTAGTGGGAGCTGTGTGAATGAAAGAGTAGAGATGGAAACAGAATGAAGAAGGCAGAAAGATAAGTGAAAAGATAGAAATCTTTTAAGTAGTTTGAGAGAAGGGGAAGAAGACGCAGAATCAAATTTTGCTTTGCTTCTTAAAAAGAATTGTATTCTCTCTCCCTCTCTCTCTCCTCCCCATTCTTTTTATGAAGGTTTCACATGGAATTGATAACTTTAATAGTGTCTTATTATTTTCATAAGATCTCCAGATGAGGTCCCTTACTTATGCAAACATGCAGCGTACAAACATGGAATAATGGAAAAAGACTCATTATCCTTTTATTTATAGAAACCTATTAATTGTATTCTCTAGATTGGCTGTTGGTCCATAAGTCAAAGTTTAGGGTTCACCTGAACTATTTCTGCCGTGTTTTATACTAGATTTTTGGAATTCAAAGACAAATATATTTAAATTCTGCCTTTGAGAAAGTTGTAGTATAATACACAATTCCTATAATAAAATAGCCTTGAATCCATAATGTTAAGTGAAGTAAATCAGACACATGAGCTTAAATATTGCATGGTTTCTTTTATGAAAAACCCAAATTATAAATAAAGAAACAGTAAAAGATAGATAATAGGAAGTAGGGAGATAGATCTTTTATGCATGTATGTATTTATTTATTTATTTATTTGAGATATATCTTTTCAAAATGGGAAAGGGATCAAGAGATAGAGGGAACAGAGGGAAAGGGGATGATAAAAGTAAAATATGTGTGAGTACCAACTCTACACAAAGAATGTAAACATTATGTAATATAAACATGTACTAAAAATAATAGGCACAGTTTAATAGATTTGATATGTACCACATATGTATTAAGAGCTTTGCATATATTCATTATGCAATGTAATCTTTGTAATAGTTCTGCAATTAAAATATTATTTTAGTTATGTGTAGTATGTCTGTAATGCCAGCCAGTTAGGAGGCTCAGGCAAGAGGATCACCAATTCAAATTCAGCCTAGGCAACTTAAGACACTGTCTCAAAAAGAAAAAGAAAGGGGGAAAAGAAGTAGGGATGTAGCTCAGTGCAAAGGCTTTGGGTTCAATCTCTAGTACTTGGGGGAAGAAAAAGAAAAAATTATTTTCTTCACCTTAATTTTTTGAGACTCAGAAATGTGAAGATTTCATGTTTTCCATATGTAGTTAGTACCTGATTGATGATGGAAATGGGGGGGCAGATCTGTCTGCCTTCAAATTAATGTTACACTACTCTACTTTATATGGTATGTGACTATGTGTATCATTCAGCTAATACATTGGGCCATTTCTATTGTATGTAACAGAAACATAATACAAACTATCCAAGAAAGCAGAGGGTTTTTTTCTGGTACTAAGAGTTGAAGCCAGATCTTCATGTATGCTAGGTAAGCATTCTACCACTGTGTCCAGGAATTTATTGCTTTTTATGACATAATCTTCAGATCCAGCTAGATTAAGGGCTGTTATGTTTTCCAAGTCTCATCTTTCTTTTTTTACTTTAAGTTCTGCAAGTATTTCTTTGTTAATTTACTTTATCCAGAATTCTCCATAGGACCACAAGAATTATTTGAAGCCCCCAACCAGCATTGGCCTGAGAACTTACAGTTTCAGTAAATGTGATACCAAAGCAAGCACCAGCTTATAGTTTTACAGGAAAAAATACCCATTTTTTTCCTTTGATAATGCTGATTGCTAGGCCTTGATTACCTGCTTATACTTTGTGCTAGAGGTACCTATCATCCCTATCCATTCCGTATGCATGAGGAACAGGGAATGCCCAAAAGAAAAAGGTTACTATTTGCCATTATTTGTCTGTTGTATACAGTGTATAATACATGATATTTCAGATTCTCCCAACAGTCATAAAGAGACCTGGGTGAGGATGTTTCTTAAAATCAGGTCATCCAATTCTTCAGTTTTCTCTGCACCACAAAGTGGCGTTCAAGTAAATGAATTAGAGGCACATTCTGCTCATACCTGTCATTGACTGGCATTTACTCTTTCATATAAATTATGTCATAACTGAGAAAAGTTATCAATAGCAATGCAGTAAACTTCATACATAAAAATTCTTCAATGGGGATAGTAACATGAGAGAAAATGATAGAAAACATCTTATTTCAATAATATTAATTTCCTTTTCCTTCATTTCAGATGAAGGCTGAAGTATTAGACATGGCAGATAATGTATTTGATGATGAATACCTGAAATGTACTGACAGGATGGAAATGAAATATGTTCCCCAATTGCTCAAGGAAGAAAAGACAAGTCATCAACTCTTGGAGACTGTGTGGGAAAATGCAAAAGCCAAATGGGAAGCCCGGAAGACTCAGCTGTCTCTCCCTACAAATTTTAAGGATAACCATGGAATAGCCCTAATGGCATATATTTCTGAAGCTCAAGAGGAAACTCTGTTTTACCATCTGTTCAACGAAGCTGCAAAATTGGCTGGCCAATCACGGAAAGATTATATCTATGGCTTCCAGTTCAAAGCTTTTCATTTTTATCTCACAAGAGCTCTACAGCTGCTGAGAGGACCTTGTGAAGACAGTTACAAAAATGTGGTATATAGAGCAAGCCAGGACATTTCATTTACATTTGGAGGGCCAAACCAAGCCAGACTTGGCAGTTTCACATTGGCATATGCCAAACCTAAAGTAGCTGAGGACCAACACTTTATGTTAATTATCTACACATGCTTTGGAGTTGCTGTTGAAAAATTTTTTGATAAAGAAAGTGAAAGAATCATTTTAATACCCCTAAGTGAAGTTTTTCAAGTATCACAGGAAGGGGCTGGCAATAACTTTATCCTTCACAGCACAAACAAGACTTGCAGCCATTATGAGTGTGCATTTTTAGGTGGTAAGTGTCTCATTTTTGCTTATTTTGGTCTGGGAGAAAAGGAATGGGATTCTTAGGCAGAGGCAGAGATCAGGTAAGGAAAATGACAGTCATTTGTCAGTAGTCAGAAACATTTTTAGTTGTCGCAACTGGGGGTGAGAGTGGCTGGGTATTAGGCATCTCATGAGTAGAAGTCAGGGACATGGCTAGAAAATGCATAGGACTTCCACAAGAAAGAATTATTTGACCCAAAATGTCAGTAGAATTACTATTCAAAACTCCTACCATCAGTACCCTGCCCCACTGGCTCCAGTTTCCACTTCTCAGTAGCACCTGTTTTAGTTGTTTTAGCTCTTGTTTTTTTTTTTCAGGTATTTACTGTCATGTTTCTACGTAGCAAGATTCAACATTTCTAGAGTTAAAAATTTGAGAACAGATATTAAGCCCTCATGTACCATGTGTTAAGAATTGTCACTTTTGGGGCTGGGGATTTAGCTCAGTGGCATAAGCACCTGCCTTGCAAGCAGTCAGTCATGAGTTCGATCCCTGGTACTGGTAAAAAGGAAAAAGACAAAAAAAAAAAAAAAAAAAAAGAATTGTCACTTTTGGGGCTGGAGGTTTAGCTCAGTGGCATAAGCACCTGCCTTGCAAGCAGGCAGTCGTGAGTTCAATCCCTGGTACTGATAAAAAGGAAAAAGACAAAAAAAAAAAAAAAAAAAAAGAATTGTCACTTTTGGCTTTGATCAAAACTTGACTGATAAGTTCATTAAATAAATCTAGAGATTGGATAACTCAGACTCTTTCTTTTCTACTACCCTTAAAATGTTGAGTTTTAGATTCATTTGTACTGTATCTGCTACAGTTCTAGGTATGAATCCATATGCAAGATGGAAAGGGAGGAAGAATGACAATCAAATCAATCTATTTAATGAAAAAAGTGAAAACTTTCCGAAAAACCTTTAATAGACTTCTGACTCTAAATCATTTACCAGGACAGTTTCTTGGTCATCCATGCCTACCAAAAAAAAAAAAAAAAAAAAAAAAAAAAAAAAAAAAAAAAAGGGCTGGGAAAGCGGGTAATTGGCTTTTCTAGTCAGTAATATAGGGAGACAAAGGAGAAGGAAACGAACTGGTTAGGTCAGTGATAACTACCACCTTCCTCTCCATTTCCCATCTCTTATAAAGACTAGTCATAGCTGCATCAACCAGTTGTTTTTCTCTGTTGAAGTACCTGTTTCTGCTTAGGGTTATTTTATGATTTTTGCTTGTTTGTTTAAACTTTGTGTTCATCAGTAATTCACCTCCAATTCTTTTGACAGAAATAGTAATTTCTTAATATATTAAGAAATATCAAATTACCTCTTATTTCCTCTTCTGTTTTTTCCTGGTTATGTACTTTCTACATTCCCCCATCATCGTGCCCTATAATACACTCTTTAGGCTTGCTGAATGTCCTCAAGTCTCTTTTTACCAGTCTGTGATTCTGCTTCTAAGAGACCTACTATTTCTTGGATTTGCATCTTTTCCTTGAATGACTCCTTTGTTGGGTGGAATGGGTCTGGGAGTTCTATAGAAGTTTCCTGAGAAATAGTACATTGAGGCAAATTTTCTAAGACTTTGCATGTCTGTCATGTTTGTCTTTAAGCTCAAATAATAGTTTTTGTAGATTTGATTTCTGTTTTAGAATTTATTTTTCTTTGGAATTTTCAGTATGTTCCTCCAGTGATTTCTATGCTCTGGAGCTATTGTTGAAAAGTGTGAAGCCATTCTAATTACTTAAAGTTTGAATGAGACTTGTTGTTTTGTTTGTTTTGTGGTATTAGAGATTGAACCAGGGCCTCATACATACAGGCATTCTGCCAGTGAACCTGAGACTTGTTTTTGTGGAGGTTGTTCTTGTTGTTAAATCTGAAAGATTTAGGATGTTCTCTTTAATACCATATACTCTGAAAGTTTATGGTATTGTGCCTTGATGAAGATGAGTAAAGAGTTAATAAAATCCTTTCTACTATGTTGATCTTCTAGCGTTATTTCTGTATCATCTACTAAAGGTAGAATGTCAGCTGTGTAACTGTCAGCACTGTCTGTGGTAAACAATAAATACTTGGGGGGAGACTTTCATTGAAGTGACAGGTTTAATGCTGCTTTGTTACTAAACACTATGCTGTGTTCTCTCCCTTGCTTTTTTCTGCAAAACTTGGTAAACTGTTAAGGAGTTCCCCTTTTTGGGTCTTGTAAATATGACTAAGTGAACCAAAAGTGATTTCTGCTGTGTTAGGCAGAACATATACTGCAGTAGACCTGAGAAATAGACTTTTAGACCCTGACTCAGTGTGAGTCTATCTGACTCAGTGTGAGATTAAAAGACTAACGAAATGTAGATGAGGTATCATGCCTGTGTGGAGGGGTGATACATTTAGGATTGGGTGACAGAAGCTGTGTAGCCCTTAAGGTGCCTAAAGTACAAAATTTAAGGAAATCCACACTTTTAGGGGATGGCTTTACATGATTCTGAAAGTGACTACACCCTTAAATTTCATACTCTAGGCACTTGTTTTGTCCTGCATTTGAGCTGTATCTGAGTATGATTGTTCTTCTTGAGGGACAGATAATTTATAGAAAAAATAAATGTATTAAAAGGGAAATATGTTCATACCATTTACCAATTATACATTGGATCTAACCAAAACCAGCTAGAGCAAGCTTACATCAGCTCATAGAAGTTAATTTTAGGCAACAATCTTCTTCCTAGGTACTCCAACATTACAGTAATAATTTCTATGCCATGGTTCATGGCATACTTGAAAATTGGCCATGGCTTATTTACATATATTAAAATTCCCTTATTTGCCAGGGATATGTTACATGATTCCCATAAATACCTAAAATGGTAGATAGTCCCACACTCTATATAAACTGTGTGTTTTCCTGTGCATACATACTTATGATAAAGTTTAATTTGTAAATTAAGTACAATAAGGGATTAATAACAGTAATTAAAAGTTGGAGAAAGTATATGAATGATGATTGTCTTGAAAAAATAAAAACAAATACTAGTTTGTTTTGTTTTGTCTGGTACCAGGGATCAAACTTATGACCTCACACTTGCCAGGAAGGCACTGTGCCACTGAGCTATATCCCCAGCCTAAATCTACATTTTTTTTTAATAGCAGGAATCAAACTCAGGACCTTGCTCTTGCCAGGCAGGCAGTTGTACCCCTTAGCAATATCCTTGGTCTGAAACACTAGTATTTTCAGAACACAGTTCTGGTAACTGAGACCACATAAAGTAAAACTAAGTAAAAGGAGAAATTGCTATGGAAATCAACAAACACCACAGTGTTAAACTTTACCAGCACATCTCAGCCAGAACCCGGTGACTGTTCAGGCAGACGTTATACCATTTTTGTTGCTCCTGACACATTCAGCCAAATGCCATTTGTAGAGTGTTGGGTGTGTTATATGAAATCTCTTGCGCCAGGCAGAGTTAGCACTTAGATCTACTTGATGGGCTGAGACAAACAGTACCACTGACAGACTCCTTATTTGTCATTGGAATTGTAATACAGTTATCATTGGAACCATGGGATTGATTCTGAATGAACCAGGACTCAGACCCACATGGAGAAATGCATTATGAGCCACATGTCAAGAAATGGGGAAGGAGATAGGGATTAGGCAAAGGCTACACAGAAGTTTAGTGTTCAAGTCAGTTAGTTTACTGCACTGGAGTAAATCCTAGGCTGAAGTAAGAACTCTAGACTGGAATCTTCTGCTGCCATCTAGAGATAACTAATGGAAACACAGAGTCCAAAACTCCCTTATGGAAGGCCAGGCTCTAAAACCCCCTAAGGTCAAGCCTGTCTGTTTGAGACATTTGTGGTAAGAGATTTTAGAAGCTCAAACCCAAACTAAGCATGGTGGCACACACATATAATCTCACTACTCTGGAAGCTGAGGCAGGAGGATTCCTGTGAGTTCAAAGTCATTTCGGGTTATACAGTGAGTTCAACACCAGCCTGAACTACATAGTGAGACCCTGTCACAAACAAACAAACAAAACAACAAGTGAAAGAAAATGAGCCTATGGAGTTATCCAGATTTTGTTCTTATACATCTACCCCTAGGCCTTGAGGGCTTATTAAATATATGTTCCACCATTAGTACAGATTTGTACTCATTAGCATTTCTTGGTAGCATCAGAGTTTCTGTGCTGTTGTCTGGGATTCTCTGGGATTAGAGAATCTATCTGTGTAGCTGGGACAGATATTTTAACCAATCATTAAGAGTCAGTGCCTAGAACAATTTGGAAGGCTGTTTATCTATCTATATTCATAGGAAATGATAGAAATATTCAGTAAACAGTCCTCTTCAGACATTCACTCACTTAACACTGCTCTATCAGCCAAAATTCACTTTAGGATATATAATTAGCAGGAAATACATATTTGAATATTTATTGGAAGGAATTGGATTACACTGTCGGAGGATCTGGCAAGCCAATTCTGAAATCCAAACGTCAGACTGTGAGGAAAGGCAGGCTGAGACTCCAACACATTAGTTTAAGCTGCTATTCACAGGCAGAATTTCTTGTTCTGGAAAGAAATCCTTTTCTTTCAACTGAGTGAATTAATTAGGCCTACACAGGTTACTTTGGATAATCTTTCTTATGCAAAGTTAACTAACTATGGACTTTAATTCTATCTACAAAATACCTTCATCGTAATAACTAAGTTCATGTTTGAATAACTGAGAACTGTTGTGGACAGGTTGATGTATAAAACCTACCCTCAACCTTTGCTAGATACCTATTACATAATGAATTACACCAAAACTTAGTGTTTTTAAGCAGTGTTTATTACTATACAGTAGGTGTGGGTCAGGAATCTAAGCACATCTTAGGTGTGTCCTTTAACTAAGTCTCTCATAATACTGTGGTCATTTTAAGGTTGACTAGAAAAAATCTGCTTCTTAGTTCATTTCATGTTACTGGCAAGGCATAGTCTTTCATGAGTTGTTCA